TTCCTTATAAGGAGATCCAGATAACAACCTTTGAAAGAACATTGCACGATCCCCACAATTTCTTTGAGGATCCTTGAAGGATCATGTCAAAGACTTTTAAAAAGATCCTTTAAAGTTCCCTGGCAATTCCTTAAGGTTCCTTATGAAGATCGCAATAAATTCTCACTGGGAGACCCCACTCCCAAACTCCCCAAGGTTGAGATGAGTTATGGGAAGAGGCGAACCCAGAGGCAGGAAGGAGGGGGAGCTAAGGCGCCAGAGTGTGTCATCGCTGCGGGGAGGTGGGTGCTGCAACAAACCAGGTTTCTGGTGTCCAGTTTAACGAAGAGAGGAATGAACAGCATCAAAAAAAAAGGCCAGTTTAAACTAAACTACAAATATATGCACAACGAGTTCCCCCATGGATTCACACTTACTTCTTGTTTAGGGCAAAATGTTGGCTTAGGGGAGGAGTAGGTGGGCAGTTCCTCAAAAACCTAAATTGATCCATTACTTCAAACATTGTAAACAGCACAAATGAGCTTTGAAAAACTCTTTGGTTGACAAGTTTTCAAGAACCACAAGTTTCCAATCTTCTTCATGTTTTTCTATCTTTGCTTCCCTTTGCTTCTGTGTTATTTTTTAGTTTCTTTTAACGTCTTGAACAGTTATTTTTATGTTTAATTCACTATGGTGGCGGTTTCTTGACACTGCTCCTTTAAATACTGGGAGTTTCAATCTGAGTGAGTGCTGAGTTGGAAGATGTTAGTGTTAAAAAGAACTTATTTGAGTCTGTTTGGAGAATAGATTACGCCCTAGCTTTTATAGTATTATGGTCAGAAAGACCAGAGAAAGTTTTGATTCGAAAATTGTTTTCTGATGTACTGGCTTTGTACAAAAACAGTCTTCTGCCTTTGCTAGCCACAGCGGCACTGAGAGAGCAATCAGAGGCGGCATTCGCAGGCTACTTGTTTCTGCTGCAAGTGTACAGAGTCATCGGGCAGCGTAAGGTTACCTTTTTAATAAAAGCGGGAAATTTTAAAATATTGAGGGTCTGATTTACCAAGAGTATTTAAATTTGAAATAAATGTATGTTGGAAATCATGACAGAAGGAAATCAGTTTTTGTATGGTTCTAGTTAGCGCGAGGTTCCAGTTAGAGGGGGTTTAAGTTACCGGGAGTTGACTGTACACTTTGTTGAAAGGTATTTTCTCCTTCCCTTCCATCACTCTGGCTGAGCAGCTATGTTAACAATGCAATAAATTTTCTTAGAAGAAGAATCAAAAAAATTATAATGTGGTTAGGAGACAGTGTACGCAACTTGCACATCTCCCATAATGCACATGATTTGCCCCCCAAAATTTTGTATAGCATTGTTTCAATTTCTTTTGGAACAGCTGTAATGCCCAGGAGAAATGAAAAACAAAGGTTATGCAAAATTTGGGGGGGCAAATGACCTACATTATGGGAAATGTGCAAGTGGCACATATCTGTTCCGTCGTTTTATGGTGTTTTGAATAAAATGCATTTGGATTAACTAGCGACATGAAATTCAGGAACTTCTGGAGCTTAGACAAAATTCCATATCCAACGATTAACTTTTTTTTGCAGAGACTATATTGTTTTAAATTAAAATAAACAAATGAAGATGGCAACTGCATTTTGTTGTGACATAAACAAAGAACAAGTGCAGTGCAAATTCATTTCTGGGCAGCAATATTTAAAATACGAAGTACAAGAGCAGGCATCTAAAACTACAGTATAGAACCCGAAACAAAGGCCCGTTTCCAAAGTTTCAGTAATTTACCCTGGCCCTGAAAGCTGAAATTAGTTTTGCAGATTATATTATAAGCCTATCAGTACGTAAAAGGGACAGGTTCACGGTTCAGCACATGCTCATTTATCAAAATGCTGTTTTTCTGCCGGGACATGTTGTATCGTCTATACAAGCAATATGATCATGTCATTACATTGTCAAAGAACCAATCTGCACACTTCCCTGGCAGTCAGTTGATCAACTTATGTGCAAATAGCTGTAAATTAATCAATTATGGAATAAAATGTTCGGGTCAACAAAAAATTTGTGGATTATACCAACACTACCAATTATTTCAAATTTTTCTGCGATTTTAGTACTCCACCATCCTACTTTAGGTTACTCTGAAATACACTTCTACTTTGAACTCTCTGAGATTGCTAAGATACATGCGAGTGGGATTATTAAGCGATGGAATTAATAAAAAGTAATTAACTTCATGAGCATGAGCTTAACCGTGAACCTGTCCCTTTAACTAAACAAAATGGAATGGTATATTACGCGGTAGCTTAGACCTCCGCTTTTATTATTTACATTTTGACTTTAATATTTGGCTTTACACCCGAAAAATTACCAGGACTTTCCAGACATAAGACCCAGGTCTGCTGGTAACCCCCCTCACCCCCCACCCCCCTTCAATACCCATTACCCTATTAAGATCTGAATCAGAATTTCACACACTATTTCAGATGGACGTCCTATATC